CTTTCATTACTCAAGCTCAAGTTCCCACAAATCAAATTTTCAAGTTCATCAATGAAGGAGAGTTTGGACCTTACATTGTAGAATACCATGGTGTTGAAAATACTAATGCCCATTTGTGACAAAAAGATCTAAAAGGAAACATTAATAGGGTTTACTCGCGAAATACCCCCTGAACTTGTACCTCGCTTTCAATTAACCTCATATCCTTTTTTTTTAGAAAATTAAGTTTTGAAATTTTTTTTTTCGCCGATTTCCCCCCTCCGTCTAAATCTACAACATTTCATCCAATTTGCTGTTAAATATGAGGGTAAAATAGTCATTTTGTACGTGAAAAATAAAATAAAAAATAGAAAATAGAAATAAAAACTGAAAACTCTCTCTCTCTCTCTCTCTCTTTTCCTTCTTCTTCTTCTTCTTCTTCTTTTTCTTCTTCTCTCTTCCCTCTGTCTCTGTCTTCTTCTCTGTGGCTGTTTCCATCTATGGCCATTAAGTCGTGAAGTTGTGAAGTCGTCGTCGCCATCGTCGAGCCAAAACCATGGGACTTGGGGGCAAGGGTTGCGGATGGGTTTCGACATGGATCTTGCGTGGGGATGGATTTCGGCTGAGGTTTTAGGGTTTAGGGTTGATGGGGTTGCTGAAGGAGATGTAGATGGGGGAGGGGGGTTGGAGATAGGGTTGCTGGGGGAGGGGAGTGACGATAGGTTTGGTTCAGTGTCTTATTTTTTTTCTTTTTTTTCTTTTTTTCTTCTTTTTGTTGTTGTTGTTAATTTTCCTATTTTTCTATATTTTTTTGTTGTTGTAAATTGTCCTATTTTTCTGGGTTTCTGAGTTTGTAGATGCTGGATGGAGGAGATAGGACTGGGGAGGGGGGCGATACACCCTATTTCTTGCTGCTTATGGTTGGAAATAACTTGCTTCTGTCAATAGAGACTGAAGATTGGGTAGCAATGAAAGAAAGGGCAGCGAGGCAGAGCCATTGAACATATAAATGATTGTGAGCTGACAGACCACCACACTTGAGAGGCTGAAGACAACGGCCTGGGTTGCTGCTTCAATGTTTTTTTTTTGGGGGGGGGGTCAATTTTCTTCTTTTTCATCAATTTTTTTCTAAAAAATAATTTTTTTAAATGATATAATTGAAAATTGGATGAAATGTTGGGAATTTAGACGGCAGGGGAGAAATTGGAGAAAAAAAAAAGTTCATATCCTTAATTTTCTAAAAAAAAAGAATAGAGGGCTAATTGAAAATTAGGTACAAGTTTAGGGGGCAAATCACTAGTAACAACTTGGCGGAAGAGCGCCTAGAGTTGTGGAGAATATTACCAAGAATATATCGGCTAGACAAAGAGAATTGAAGTTTGAAGAACATTTTGCTAAAGAATATGAGTCCCACATCGGAAACTTGACTAAGGCCCCGTTTGGGATTGCTTTTTTTGGCCAAAAACCTGCTTCACTTTAAAATTAAGCAGTTTAAGGTGTTTGGTAAAAGGAAAATATCCCGATTATTTTAAAAGCAATGGCCTTTTGATAGCAGCTTTTAAAAGCAGGCTTTGGGTTGCTTTTCAAAGCTGTTTTCAAAAGAAGCAGAGATGAACATTTAATGAATTTTTTTAATTCCCAAAATACCATCATTCATTTTTAAAAATGACACCACCTCCACTTCCACATCCAACTCCACCACTTGCACCACCACATTCACTACTTCCACAACCACCGCCGCCACCACCACCACCACATCCTCCTCATCCTCATCCTCCTCCTCCACCTCCACCTCCACCTCCACAACCATCACCACCACCACCTCCTCCAAAACCTCCAAATCCACCACCACCTCCTCCAAAACCTCCAAATCCACCACCACCTCCACAACCAACATCACCACCACCACCACCACCTCCACAACCGCCATCCCCACAACCACCAGTACTACAACCACCAACTCCACCTTAATCACCACTCCACCACCACCACCACCACTACTACCACTACCACAACCACCAACCCCACCTTCATCACCACCACCACCTCCACTCCATCACTACCACAACATGATTAGTACATAACACTTTTAATATCATGTCTATTTTAGTCATTATTCACAGTTACAACAATTTTATATTAAAATTTACCAAACGTTTTTTACACTACTTTTTGTACTAACAGCACTTTAAAAATATTGTTTACCAAACACGGAGCTGCTTTACTTTACAGCTAATTATTTTCAAAGCACAGCAGAAGCAACTTTTTTTAAAAGTGACAGCAATCCCAAACTGGGCCTAAATAAAATACAAAATATAATGAATGGTTTTACTACTAATAACATAGAGACCTTTTGTGATAAAACCCCACATCTACTAGTACAAGAAACATATGGCTAGGAAAAAGAAGGCCAAGTTGGTGGACTTGGTGATGTTGGCAAAGAATGCCTATATTGTCATGCAACCTACAGTGCAGTCTAGAGTCAACCACTAACTCCCAAACTAAGGGAGCCAAGAGCTACCTAAAATCCTAAGCTAGAAAAGCTAGGAAACTAAGCAACAAAGCTAGCTATCTAGCTAATCAAACAAAGGTGGGAGTTACTAATAGAACTCCCAATCCAAGAGGGAGCTACAGGTGAGCTACCCAACCTATGGAATAAGCTTGAAGACAAGAACTCAAGCTAGGGCCAAATAGCCCAAACTAATCTAAATTAAGTGTGATGACCAATAAGCCAATAAGCTGTGAAGAAGGCCAATTAGCCTACACCTACATGCTATTCTCGTCCAATGTAATAAAATCACTTTGTTTCAATTATTGTCTATTATCATAAACTCTTTCACCACATAAACCAACAATGGTATCATAGCAACACCATTCACAATCACCCTACAATCTAACAAGTGGTATCAGAACGTCACAAACACTCATCACGCACCTCCTAAAATTCCTATACATGGAAACAATCGTATGCTTTGCGTCTTTAGCTCCCCTTTCCATCTTGCCTTTTACAACACCACCCCAAATGCCTTCACTCTTGCTCTCCACATGGGCTTGAGGCGTTCCGAGTCACTCTTCCGTTGGGTTTGAGAGGCCAACCGGAAAATCCGATTGGTGAAAACGCCACTCTCACATTCGGGACAAACGGCAACCTTGTTTTGGCCGATGCCGATGGTCGAGTGGCATGGCAAACCAACACTGCCAACAAAGGGGTTGTAGTGCTTCCAACAGGCAACATGGCCCTCTATAACTCAAAGGGTACCTTTGTTTGGCAAAGCTTTGACCACCCTACCGAGACTGACACTTTGTTGGTGGGTCAATCTCTCCGGGTTGGGGTAGTAACCAATTTTGTGAGTCAGGCCTCCGAGAAAGAAAACAAAGATGGGCCGTACAGCTTGGTCATGGAGCCCAAATGGTTGGCTTTGTACTTACAAGAGCAACAACTCCCCAAAACCACTACTTTACATTGGCTCAACGCATCACTCTTCCGAAGGGATCATTGGAGCATGTAACGATACATAGTGCCCCAGATGAGGGTTCTGGTTATGACTTGACCTTAAATTATCAAGCGGCCAACCCTTCCTCCATTGGAACTATCTATCTAGCTAAGACCAAATACAATAGCACATTAACTTTCCTTAGGCTTGGAATTGATGGAAATGTCAAGCTTTACACTTACAATGACAAGATTGATTTTGGTGCATGGGAAGTGACCTTCAGTTTTTTCGACACAGACAATTCAATCTGGTGGGAAAATGAGTGCCAATTGCCAGAGCGATGTGGGAAGTTTGGGCTTTGTGAGGGCAGCCAATGTGTTGCTTGCCCTTCACCTAAGGGACTGTTGGGTTAGAGCAAGAGTTGTGAGCCTGAGAAGCTTACTTCGTGTAGGGCAAACAGCTTCCGCTATTATAAAGTTGAAGGGGTTGATCATTTCTTAAGCAAGTACACAAGTGGAATTTCTGTGAAAGAAAATGATTGTGGCAAGAAGTGTACTTCCGAGTGCAAGTGTTTGGGGTACTTTTACAACCAGGACACACCGAGGTGTTGGATTGCTTATGATTTGAAAACCTTGACCAAAGTTGCCAATTCTACTCATGCGGGTTACATCAAGACACCCAATCACTAAATATGGATTACTTATGATTTGTTGTATTTCTTATTTTTCACTTGTAATATATAATCGAGTATAGGAGGTGAGGTCCTGCCGTTAAGAGAAGGTGTTACAAGACACTATCATGTTATTCAAACCTCTATAATAAGCATTTCACGAAACCCAATTCGGCTCGGTTTTCCAAGTTTCCAGTTTGAATGCCCACTCCTAGGTATAATGGATATGCTGAAAAATTAAAAAATGGCTGACATATCAACCAAATAAGATAACCAATACGGTGTTAGTTGAATTGGCAAGATAGTTTTCCCCTCCTCCTTAACTTTGGCAAAAACGTCTGATAGTTGCTAGTTTAGCTTGATAGTTGATGGTTAGGTGTATTCATTTCATTGGTCCATTTGGCAAGTGAAGAGTGGTCCACGTGGCAAGTTTCTTACCTCCCCATTGTTATCAGTTGCTGGGTTGTTAGATTAGTAGGTTTTTTTTTTTTTTTTTTGACCGAATGTTAGATTAGTAGTTAAGGCAGCTGTTTTAGGCGGGAATATTAGTTACAGTTGCTAACCCAGTTTATAAGCTGGCTTTGTAGTGATTTTTTCATTGTGAATTGTTTTGTAATTGATCTAAGTCAATAAAGTTACTCGTTTTGCTTACGTGAGTTAAGGTTGAGATATATGGCCGGGTAGGTTCCTACCAAAATCAACCAAATAAAATGCTGAACCTCAGCAGCAGCCAATGTTATATATTGTTGAGGTTGGATTACCATTTGGTTTGAAGTGTTGGTAGTACGGGTAGTTGTTGAACCTCAAACCACTGGCCTGGGCCAACATTCAACTTCATTAAACCAAAAAAAAGGGTATTCACACGCTTAAGTAATTTCAATTCTCTGGACACATTTCAATACCCAAGCCCAAACCAAGAATCCTAAATGCATCACCAACTATATGAGTCAAAATTAAAGATAAACGAAGACTTAATTAGCTTTTCGCCACTAATTCGAGAGGAGCCGCAATATATCTGAACACGCCATGCTATATATATCTGAGGTAAAGTCTAAAGACAATGAATCAAGATCACCACAACACAAACAAACGCCTAGTGACGGAAAAACAATTAAGGTGTTTGATGTTAGGCGTGGAGGAGCTGCTGCTGCTGGTTTGCTTTGCATTATTGACGAATAACAAAGCTGCTGCTCTCTTCAACAGGAGCAGTTTTCCTCCAGGTTTCATATTTGGCTCAAGTTCAGGATCTTACCAGGTCTTAATTTACCCCTTAATCTTTGTTTTATTATTGCTGATTCATTTACCATCCATCCATCCATCCATCGAGAACATAATCATGACATCTTCAGCGAGTGTAACATTAATAATTTCAGTATGAAGGCGCTGCAAATGAAGGTGGTCGAGGACCAAGCATATGGGATTCCTACACCCACAAACATCCAGGTCTGTCTCTCTGTGTAATCCAATAATCAATTAGTTAAACTAAGCTGCTTTCTTTTTTCTTTTTTCCCACCAAATTAAAGAAACCTAAAACATAATTAAGCCCATAATAATTTGCAGGGTTGGTTTGTTGTGTTGTACATGTATGCCTTCCTTGCAAATTTAAGAATATAAATCTACAATTTTTCATTTCTTCAAAAGTTGAGTTCTTTCACCTCCACCCACACAGGTTCACCACACAGAAAATTTTCTCGTGCGGTATTCATATTTATTCCCATGCGCATTTGTTTCCTCTTTTTGTCATCCTAGTCCATTTCTAATCGGCTCATATCAGTGTGTGGTGTGACAAAAGTGGATGTGGGGATAGCTTGTAGTAGCTAAATAGTGTTTTGCCCCTACCACACGAGATCCGGGAGAAAACGCCAGAACAAACATCAAGTTCTTAGATTTTGGTCGCTATCTAAAGTTATAGAGACAGCTTAGAATAGATTATTAGCTACGGGCGTGTAAATGAGATGATTGCGAATATTTAGGTGGTTGACACCCAATTGAATATTTGTGTTAACGCCCTTCCCTAATTGTTTGTACTAAAAAAAATTGAAAATGCTCTATTCTCATACCCTATTTTATTTTATTTTATTCTTGTTTCTTTTCCTCTCTTGGAAAATGACTGCCGCGGACCATGCCGTAGGTCCCAACTGAGCCAGTAAAACGACTTTCGACCCAGGTTACAGAACACAAAAAAATTTTGGGTTGAGTAACTATAGTATCCTGGCTTCTTCGTTTTTTGGGTTGGATGGCTTATTGGGAAGAGTGCTGTTATCTATTTTCCCACTTATTTTATTTTTAAAATTTTAAATATAAAATTATCCTTTTGTAAAATGACTTCTAATGACTCAAGGAAAAAACCTCAACCCAAGCTGCCTTTTGCCAAAGTTGAGAAACATCCCAAAATCCCCTATTACTTCATTATACACCCTTTATTATTCCAAACTCTCCAAAGGTTAGCAACAAAGCACTTTCCCAAATCCCCAAATTTCAACTTCCGCAGCATCATCATCATGCACCCAAAAACATGCAAGTTACAGAATTGCATGACCACCCAAATTCTGCAGCATCACATTAGCTTGAGTTGTTCCGATCCTCTCAGCACAGCACCCTTCTAACACATGAGCAATAACACCCCCCGTGAAGTGCTTAGATTCAAGTGAACCACCAAATAATTAAAGGGTATTTTAGGAATAATGGTGGGTAAAAAGATAGAATTGTGTTTTTTTAATTTACATGATGGGTGGAAAAATAGGACATGTGAATGTAAATAGCATCACTCATTGGGAATTATCAACAAAGCCAGTCTTTATATTTTTCTCATTATAAAAAAAAAAAATTAAAAAGCTAAATCACTTTCTGTCTTTACTTACTTGTGGTGAGATTCATGTAGTACGGATACTTAATTAGTATATCCAACCAAGCATGTACATATGATATGATTTTCGCAAATAATTAAAAGAAAATTATGATTAATTACAGAAAGGATCATTGATGGCAGCAATGGAGATGTTGCTCTTGATCAATATCACAAGTATAAGGTGCAAATTTTCTCTTCACCTTTTGTACTTCAAGGTCACAATGTGTACATACTAATTAAACTTTGAAGCTTGAAAATGAATATCCTTAACTTTTAGCTTCTTGATTTTGATATATTTTGTGTTTTGTATTGCAGGAAGATGTGGAAATTATGAAGGATATAGGCTTGGATGCTTATAGGTTTTCTATTTCATGGCCCAGATTGTTACCAAGTAAGTTCACGATCCGCATTGACATATTTGTCTGGGACCAATCGCAACTATACCTTCTGTTCTTTATTATTGTTATTATTATTATTATTATTATTATTATTATTTTGCTTTCCTCCATACACTTATTCCCTTTATGTTTTTAGCTCAAGTATCCTATATTATCTAGGGTAGAATATAACCAAGATCTTGTTCTTAATTAAAAAAAGTTCATTGAAATAATCGCACCGAAATGAATTAAAAGGCCAAAGTATATATGTAGTTACTTCCTTATTTGTTTTTTTTTTTTAATTATTAGGTGGAAAGTTAAGTGATGGTGTGAATGAGGTTGGAATCAGATACTACAACAATCTAATCAATGAACTCCTCAGAAATGGTAAATCACTTCACAATTCATGCACTCATAAATATATCATTCAGTCAAAATTTTAATTTCTTTTACTAATTGTGTATATATATATAGGTCTAAAGCCATTTGTCACACTTTTTCATTGGGATCTTCCCCAAGTTTTGGAAGACGAATATGGTGGTCTTTTAAGCGATCAAATTGTGTGAGTCAACCAATTATCTCCTCTATATAACTTAATTTTGATCATTTTATTAAATACATACTAGTATAACATATATTTTAAATATGTATATATACAGCAATCATTTTCGAGACTATGCAGAACTTTGTTATAAGGAATTTGGTGATCGAGTAAAGTACTGGACCACATTGAATGAGCCATATACCTATAGTAGCAATGGTTATGCTTCTGGGTCTTACGCACCAGGACGATGTTCTGATTGGCAGAAACTAAATTGCACTGGTGGAAATTCAGCTATTGAACCATATTTAGTGACACACCACCTTCTACTTGCTCATGCTGCTGCTGCAAACTTGTACAAGAATAAATTTCAGGTTAATACCAATTCTTTCTTTTTTTGTTAACATATTGGGTCCTAATTGAAAATTCTATACGAGTCAGTAATATTAAGGTGAAATATAAGAGGAATATATTGTACAGTAAGATAAGGTTATCCATTTCTCTTTTGCAGGCATATCAAAAAGGTGTGATAGGAATAACGCTCGTCTCACCATGGTTTGTGCCTCTTTCAGAGGCAAATGAAGATAAAAAGGCTGCATTACGAGCATTGGAGTTTACTTTTGGATGGCAAGTATATCATTAATTTATATATCAACCAAGTTAAATGTTTATTTAGAAACATAAAATTTACTAGCAATGAGTGCATTATAGAATATTTAGTTCATGCTCGGGATTTCCATTGCTTTGTAGGTTTATGGAACCATTGACAAGTGGTGATTATCCTCACAACATGCGATCTCTTGTTGAAATGCGTTTACCAAAATTCACAAAAGCACAATCCAAGGCGCTAATTGGGTCATTTGATTTTCTTGGACTAAATTACTATACTGGTTACTATGCAAGCGATGCATCTAATAATGTTTATGATGAACATGCAAGCTACTTCACAGATGTTCGAGTGACTCTTTCATGTGAGTACAAATTGAAAACTTATTTCAAGCAGCTTAAGTTTCTTAGAATATTTAGACTCTGACACTATTAATTTATGTTGTGGTAGCTGAGCGGAATGGGGTTCCCATTGGTGCAAAGGTACACATCAAAATTTGAACTTAATTATTAGTTGCACAATTTACCGTTTTCATGTGAGTACAATTCGATGATTAATTTTTTGTCACCCTTAATTATCTACAAATTGAAGTGCAGGGTGCTTCAAGCTGGCTAAATGTTTATCCAATAGGAATTCAAAATTTGTTACTCTACACGAAGGAAAAGTATAATGATCCAATCATTTACATTACTGAGAATGGTAATTATTTTTTAACCTTAATTAACTGCATCACCAATGTTTCACATATGTATTATATAAAATATAGTTAACTTGCTACAATGTCTAATTCAAAACTATGTAACAATGAGCATGTTGTATTGTAGGCATTGATGAATTTAATGATCCAAAGTTATCACTTGAGGAAGCTCTTTATGATACCCATAGAGTTGACTATCACATTCTTCACCTCTATTACGTTCAAAGTGCAATCAAGTAAGATATACGATTTGCCTTCTTTCTTGGAAGTAGATATTCCTCTTTCTGCAAATCACTGTTTGACACATATGCAAAAATAATTCATAAAAAAACACAAAAGGAAAACTTTTACATATCCAACTGTTGTTGTCAAGAATGGAGGAGTTCATAGTTACAATAGAAAAATGAAAGTATTTTCCTTAACAAATTAATTGAGGCTAGCCTTCTTCCATTTCAGTTATTGAACCATTACCTAGAAATTAGTGCCTTTGATTTTTACATGTTTTCATTTTTTTTGTCTAGAAATGGTGTCAATGTGAAGGGATACTTTCTATGGTCATTACTAGACAACTTTGAATGGAAGGAGGGATTCACTGTTCGATTTGGTACCAATTATGTGGATTACAATAATGGGCTGAAAAGACTACCAAAACTCTCAACTCAGTGGTTCAAAAGTTTCCTAGGAAGTAATGAAGAAGCTTATTATTCATACATAATATAAACTTTTAAGTAGATCATTTCCCTCTTTCCATATTTGTAATCATGCATTAATGGATTATATATATATATATATAATAAGGATGACTACATTTATCTACTATATTTAGACAGCAACAATATGGGCACCAACTATCGGCCCCAATTTTATATTTCAACCTCAGTTCTAGATAAATTATTAGCATCCAGTCCAAAACCACATATAACATATCATTGGGTTTTTAAGAAGCCCGCATCTATTACAGTTAAAGTAACTTTTTTATTTTTTTAGGAGAAACAATAGTGATTTATTGATAAGAGGAGAACCAAGATTACAGAATGGTCCGACAATACCTCAAAGGTTAGATGAATTTCTCTAGGTAGAATCAACAGAGGAAAGTTTGAAGATCCTCTCCAAGGATATAAACCATTTCCTAACTATTCTCTTGCAGAATATGATGCTACATATCGAGTTCTCAATGTTTCTAACTACCCCTTTCAACTTTGCTTCTACAACACCACCCCCAACACCTTCACTCTTGCTCTGCAAATGGGCAATTTCTTCAAGTACTCAGAGCCACCCTTGCATTGGGTTTGGGAGGCCAACCGGGGGGTTGGCGAAAACGCCACTCTCACATTCGGGACAGACGGCAAACTTGTTTTGACCGACGCGGATGGCCGAGTGGCATGGCAAACCAACACTGAAAACAAAGGTGTGGTAGGCCTCAAGCTGCTTCCAACTGGCAACATGGTCCTCTACAACTCAAAGGGCAACTTTATTTGGCAAAGCTTTGACTACCCAACAGACACTTTATTGGTAGGTCAATCTCTAAAAGCTGGGTCAAAACACAAGCTCATCAGCCGAGCCTCCTTGAAAGAAAATTGTAATGGTTTTGGAGCCTAAAGGATTGGTTATATATGTTCTATAAGAGCAAGAACTCTCCAAAGCCTTTACCCTATTTGAATATGAAATCTGATATGACCGGAAAATGGGACCATATGACATTGAATGGCACCCCGGACACATATGAGGGCCATGCTTATAAGTTATGACATAAACTTAGATCAAGTCCAAGCCAACTCTTCTTATGCTACAAAATTCTTTCTGGCTAGACCCAAATACAACAGCATCCTTTCGTTCCTTAGGCTTGAAATCGATGGAAGCCTTAGGATTTACACTTACTACGACGACGTAAATGTTAGCGAGATCCTAGTTTAATTAGGAGATTTATTTCCTAGTCTATTAAGACTCTATTTCTTTCCTTTTGGTTAGATGCATGAATATGTCCTTGAGGGAAACAATGTTATTTGAAAAAAAAATTCTAAAATGAAACAGTTATACTAAGAAAATTAATTAAATGCGACAGAAAACATTGTTATGTAGAACATTCCTAATGCCTATATGATTCATATACCCTTTCATTTTTTACATGTTTCACTAAAACCTCAGACTCTTTTTTTTTTCTTTATTTGTACTATATTATTTAAATGTAGTAAAAATTCCTGTGATTTTCTTAATACATATACACAAAAATTAGTATGATGTAATATTACAGCTATTGTCATATTAAGCAACCAAAAAATAATGTACATCATCCCATATCTATACAAATTCTCCCAGACAGTACCATATCCACAAATAAAATAAGCACATATAGGGACTATCCGTGCTCCATACTTGGGCCACGAATCACAAAATTGTGCTCTATATGCAAAGTAAACTCCTATATAGGAGATCGACATTTAAAATGTGGGTGCACCGTGGCTATTAACAATAAACACAAATATAAATTTGTGCCTATAAGCTCAAAGAGCACAAAAGAAAATAGTGTCGTATGAGCAATTTTTTTTGTAGTGTATGTATGAAACACTGAGATAAGTAACCATATTAATTAAAATCATCACTAATTAATTCATAGTAATTAACCAACAAATATAATAATAATAATAATCTGTTAATTCTTCTTATGAGCTTTGGGTCTGGAAGCAGAAGGTGAAAAGCAAGAGGAACAAGTGGAGATGATTGATGCAGCAGGTTATTGCACATATTGGTGGCAGGCAAGCACGTATGGCCACCTGGATGCGAGCTAGAGTTTGTCAGGAAGCACATTGCTGGTGTACTTGTAGAATTTTTTTTTTAAAAATGTCTTTTGACAATAAAAGAATAAAAAGATATATGGACCAATAAAATCGATCCCATTATTATATATAAATTGGCCATTATTTATGAGTTTTTTTTTTAATTAAGTGTTGACGATTATGATGCAAGACATTTACCTCAAGCAATTGCAATAAAGGGAGATGTTATCGACAATCATATTCTTAAGTGAAAACGTAAGAAATGAGTACATTTTTATTATTATTATTTTTTTAATACAAGAAATATTTTATTTTAATTTAATCTAAATTACAAGAAGAGTGATTTGAACTCAGGTATAAAGTGGGAAGCATATCCACTCTAAATAACTTAACTAACGAATTTCCATGCTCGTCCAATTTTCACATACCCACAAGCCAAGTTGTATCTCTATAAACCCAATGACATAAAATGGTTAATTTTATATTTTGTATTTTCGAAAGTGAAAAACTTTACTCTTTTTTCTTTTTCGTCTTGAACAATTTTACTTTGAGGGTGCATAAATTTAAGGGGTAACTACATAAAAGTACTTAATTTTTGGGGCTCGTTTCAAATTAATACTTAACTGTAAGAGTATCACAACTTTCAGTTCTTGTTTGATTGACCACCTACCTGGTGTACCATCCAATACACATAGGACATATGAAATTATTCTCTAACTTATTGCATTGCTTTTTATTACCTGGTGTACTCGTAATACCCAAAAATTTCCATGTTATTTTGTCAGTCAACCAAGACCACGTAGTCAAATACATATCCATGTGATCAATAAATTACAAATCAAAAGAGAGCAAATTCTCTCTAAATACGACATAAAAACTTCCAATAATAGAAGGATTTACTTTTAGGCTTCTTTCGCTTTATGACCAGCTGGCTTTTCTTTTCTTCCAGAAACACCTTGTAGTGGATAAGGGTTGAGGATTAAGATTAGGCATCCTCTCCTTCCGACAAACAATGACAGAAGCAACATTGCTGCATTGGATAGATGGGGAAGAAAATTATAAATATGTGCCACCAACGCACGTTCTCAAAGCACAAAGTACCAAGTAATATAAAAATCATTATTGACCACGGCTTTATACACAGAATCATAGCGGTGCATGATTTGATCAAAATTGGCGTCTGAAAACAGTCGGTTCATTTCTCATATTTTAATCCCAGAATCATCCCAATCCAAGCCAATACGAGATTATAAAGAGAGGCCTGCTATTAGCTCTCCAAGGCCAACACAAACCTACAAGCTACAACATGGCTTCCTCTACATCCACCATCTCATTGCTTTCCCTCTTTCTCTTCTCACTCTTGGCTTTCGTTTCTCAAGCTCGAGTTCCTGCAAACGAAACTTTCAAGTTTGTCAACGACGGAGAGTTTGGGCCTTACATTATAGAATACGATGGAAACTACCGTATGATTAGTGTGTTTAACGCCCCCTTCCAACTTGGCTTCTACAACACCACCCCAAATGCCTTCACTCTTGCTCTTCGCATGGGCTTGAGGCGATCCGAGTCACTCTTCCGTTGGGTTTGGGAGGCCAACCGGGGAAACCCTGTTGGTGAAAACGCCACTCTCACATTCGGGACAGACGGCAACCTTGTTTTGGCCGAGGCTGATGGCCGAGTGGCGTGGCAAACCAACACTGCCAACAAAGGGGTGGTAGGCTTCAAGTTGCTTCCAACAGGCAACATGGTGCTTTATGACTCAAAGGGCAACTTTGTTTGGCAAAGCTTTGACCACCCTACCGACACTTTGTTGGTGGACCAATCTCTTAAGGCCGGGGCAGTAAACAAGCTCGTGAGTCGGGCCTCCGAGACCGAAAACAAAGATGGGGCTTATAGCTTGGTGATGGAGCCCAAGGGAATATTTTTGTACTATAAGAGCAAAAACTCCCCAAAGCCAATGCTCTACTCTCAAGTGATTACTATTGATAAGGGCTCACTTGACCATGCAACGTTGAAATGTGCCCCGGACACAGATGAGGGTTATGCTTATGACATAACCCTAGATTATGAAGCGGCCAACTCTTCCTCCGGTGGAAATCGCATACTGGCTAGACCTAAATACAACAGCACGTTGACCTTCCTCAGGCTTGGAATTGATGGAAATGTCAAGCTTTACACTTACAACGACAAGGTGGATTGGCGTGCATGGGAGGTGACCTTCGCTCTTTTCGACAGAGATAATTCAATCTGGGAAACTGAGTGCCAGTTGCCGGAGCGATGCGGAAACTTTGGCCTCTGCGAGGACAGCCAATGTGTTGCTTGTCCATCGTCAAAGGGATTGTTGGGTTGGAGCAAGACTTGTGAGCCTGAGAAGCTAACTTCTTGCAATCCAAAGAGCTTCCGCTACTACAAAGTTGAAGGGGTTGATCATTTTTTGAGCAAGTACACTAGGGGAGATGCTACAAAGGAGGCTGATTGTGGTAAGAAGTGTACTTCAGATTGCAAGTGTTTGGGGTACTTTTACAACCAGGATACATCCAGGTGTTGGATAGCTTATGATTTGAAAACTTTGACCAAAGTTGCCAATTCTACTCACGTGGCTTATATCAAGACACCTAACTAGTAATACATTTATAGGGACTAGATCTTCACTTTGTTGTATTTCTGATCGAACATCAAATGTTATGAACTCTCAATAAAGATTTGTTTGGATTCTCCAGGTGAGTGGAGAACATTATATTATTAAAAATGCAGTGCAATATTCTCTTTATGTGATTTGATTATAGGTAAATAATATAATATTAATCATCAAATCTCTATCTAAATATATATTTAACATGCTCTGTGAATCTAATCAATACTGTGAACTAAGATGGCATAACTGAGTCCGGAGAAGATCTCTTTTTTCTTCAGGTGATTAATTTGTTCTGTAAACGCATTAAAATTAGTGGATTAAGAAAACAATAATAATACAACAGTTACTGATGATTTTACTGATCTCAGCTTTCATAGAAGTGAGATCTAC